AAGCAAAAGAGCTCCTTACCTGTGGCCCCGGCACCGCCGGTGCCCAGCAACCCTCCACGGTGTCGGGGCCGATAATGACATTTATTCTCGCGGCCTTGCCAGGTGCTGCGCCTCCGCCCGTCCCTCTAAAGGAAAGCGTCACAATATGATTTTTTTTTTTATTTATTCATACTGCAGGCCATTTCAGGCCCAAGCAGGGTGGGACAACAAGAAAGAAAAACATAACTAAACAAAGTAAACCAACAAATGTGGTACACTGGAGGTCACAAAACATACACAAGTTCAAAGGGTGTATGGATAACACAACAATGGGGCCACTGATAGCAAAATAGAGCACATAAAATATAAGGTAAGAACGCTAGTGACACGTTGTATCTTAAAATCATGACTACAACATTACTGAAATATAAAAAACAACAAAAAAAAAACAACATGCAAGCACCTTAGAATTGCGAAAAACATGCATCAACAAATTGTTCTACGGTCGTACATGCAACAATCCCGTCGGGTAAAAGATTCCATTCATCTACAGTTCTGGAAAAGAAAGAAAACTTGAACACTTTGGATGACGATCTAAAGGGTCGAATGTGGTGCGAGTTGTTTATTCTACTGGAGTGCTTGAAGGGAGGGAGCAAATACATGGTAGGATCGATACCGGTTTGCCTGTTCGCAATACAGTACAAAAGTTTTAGCCTAGCTAACTTACGTCGGGCGCACAAAGGTTCTATGTTTGACAACGACAACGTCTCAGTGATAGAATCCGTCCTTTTGTACCTGCCATACACAAATCGTAGACTCTGGTTTTGTATACGTTCGATTTTAGAAGAATCAACTTTTGTATAAGGATCCCATACTACAGTGGCATACTCCAACATTGGCCTTATTAGGGTCTTATAGGCGGTTAGTCTGGTGGATGTTGGTGCCAGCTTTAGTTTTCTTCTAATGAAACAAAGTTTTTGGAAGGTAGCTGAGCATATATTATGTACATGCAAGCTCCAGCTAAGGCCAGGAGTGAGCGTTACTCCTAGATATTTCATGGAGTCGACCTTGGAAACGGGGGAGCCATCAAAAAGGTACTCAAAACTTAGAGGGCTTTTTTTCTTAGTGAATGTGATCGCTACCGTTTTTTGTAGATTAAGTTTCATCTGCCATTTCTTGCACCATTCAGACACTGAATCCAGGGCGTTGTTGAGCATAATCTGGTCCTCGACACTCTCCACTTTCGTATACAGGACACAATCGTCCGCAAAAAGCCTGATCTGGATTTATTTTTTATATCGTTCGCAATGTCATTTATGTAGACAAGAAATAATAACGGGCCTACGACCGATCCCTGGGGGACACCGGAAAAAACGTCAAGGGAGGGAGAACGGGAACCATTGATTTCAACATATTGCTTCCGGTTGTACAAATAGCACTTTATCCACTGCACCAAGTCTTCGCTAATACCAGCTTTTCTTAATTTAAAAAGCAGTGCATCATGGGGAACAGTGTCGAAGGCTTTCGAAAAGTCGATAAAAACGGCGTCGGCTTGCCCTTTTTCATTAAGAATGCTTGCCAAGTCATGCATGGTGCAAACGAGCTGGGTAGTGGTAGAGCGATTATGCCGAAAACCATGCTGGGAGTCGGTGAAAAAATTGTTGCTCTCGAGGTAATCAGTAATATGCTTTTTTACAATGTGCTCAAGAAGTTTAAAAGATATGCAAGTTAAAGATATGGGTCGATAGTTCGAAACGGAAAGCTTATTGCCTGCCTTATGGACCGGTACTACGCGCGCGCAAAGCCAGTCGACTGGAACAAGCCTTTCTTTCAAAGAGGACGTAAATATTATACACAGAAACATTGACATCCACTCAGCATACCTCTTCATAAATGCAGCAGGAATGTCATCTGGGCCAGACGCTTTTTTATTGTCTAAATTAAGTAACATAGCAAAGATACCTTGGGCTCTCACGGTTAGGTCAAACATGGGAATAGAAGTGCAACCTGAAGGTGCAAGGTAATCTACAGCTTTTGGTGGTCTGGTAAAGACAGACTGAAAATATGTATTGAACTCGGTACTTATAACCCTTGGAGTGTCTATGACTACATTTCGTATTTTAACTTTCTCAACCACTGCACGTGAGGGAGACAGATTTTGCCAGAATATTTTTTTATTCTGGCGATAGTTTTTATTTTTTTTCTTTGTCGAAAGTATAGATTGAATTTAATTTTACAGACGTAGCTTACTCATCTCCCTTGGCAGTTTATTTGCAATGCTAACCTCAGTCTTCAGACCGTAAATGTGACACTTGTCATATGCAGTGGGTAACCTCCAACACTGCGGAATACGTCATATTTGCAAGCCATGCATCCAATATCAAAAGTCGGAAACACTCACCTGCTGATCTTGAGGAATTCATCGGCTTTCTTTTTGGCTGTGTGCACCCTATCAGTCCAATAGTGCTGCCACCTTCTCCTGTCTTTGATGGCAGGTCTGATGGCATTGGGCTCGGAGACAAACTCAGCCCAGAGCTTATCTTTTTCCACCTGTGTTGCACCTACTCCTGTCTTTGATGGCAGGTCCGATGGCGTTGAGCTCGGCGACGAGCTGAGCCCAGAACTTATCTTTATACACTTGTGTGACCGTCGGCGCAAGATCAGCGGCTCCCAGCTCGATTTGGGGATGTTCTGCCATAAATTTCAATAGTGCCTCGCTCTGGGCTGCCAACACTTGCGGATCCAACCTTGACATTTTTGTTGTTGGCTCCATATTTGCCACCGATCATAGCAGACGACTTGACACTCCGAGGGAATGTGGCATTCACTATTTTATCGCAGATCACTGCAAACAACACAAATTTTTAAGTTTTTATTCACTGCAAATCAATTAGATTCACGTTGGAGCTCTAGAAAACTTTTATCAATGTGGCCCCTCCTTTACGGGAGGGCCGTCGGAGTTGAGCTCTGCGACGAGCTGCGTCCAAATCGCGTATTTATGGGCGTGGAGTCCACCCGTCCTGAAATTTAGTATTGCCTCGCACTATACGGAATGTTCCTCCTGTAAAATTTGTCATTTTCACTCACTGGGCCGGCGAAACCCGCGATTGCGACGTGTACGGCCTTTTCCGCTTTGTCCCTTGAATTGTAGCGGCGGCGCGCTGGAGGGAAAACGGCACGCTGGAGGGGCAATTGGCGCTAGACTCGCGTGACGTCTCAGCCAAAGTGGGGGTAAAAAAATGTAAGAAAGGAGAACGAATCTCGCCACAGTTCGCCCCAGGGGCGGGTCCTTAAGAGCCTCCTCCTTTCGTGACATGTTCTCGCCTGTTTTTTTCGCCGCCGTCCAACTTAGAGCTCCTGGTCAAATCTTCTGTTGATTTCGCTTGTAATGCAGTCAGTCGCCACAAAATACTAATCTTTATCTTGCCTTTGCATCAAGAATTGCAGGTCTTGCTGGGGTGCCGGTGGTTTTGCCGCCCTCGGTTGTTTGGCAGACGGTTGTTTCAAGCCAAACTTCTCCGCAGCGTCCTTCGACTCCCCCCAGATGCTTTCGAAACCGACATCCGATCTTAGTTGTGTTAGGGTCTGTGTGAGGATCCTCGCAGCTATTTTGGCCCCAGTGGCGCTGTAATGAATGCTTTGCAGTGTCCTTGCGAGTTCTTCACATGGCCCAAAAACTGCAATCGCCACGTTTAATCCAAAGACTTTTTCTAGCTTACCCAGAATCTTCTCACATCCTCTCATAGCCGCTTTGCAGTCATCTCTAACTGAACCTGGAGTTTGGAGGATTTCCCAGAGTGTTGCTCGAACTCTTTCGGAATTTCGGAGGAATCTTTGCACAGATTTCACGCGAACCACCCAGAACGTTGTTGGTGTAAACACTCTTCCTTTTTGCTGAATCCAGGATGATTTTTGAGACGTCTTTCACAGTTGTTAGGGCATCGGCAACCAATTCATTGCCACGGCCGACTTCTTGTAGGGCCAGATCGAGAGAGTAGTTGCTGCAATACATGTATACTGACTTTGGCTGGACAGCAGCAATCTTTTTTTTGCACTCCAGAAAAGCGACCCGACATGTTTGCAGCTCCATCGAAGCACATCCCTCGCAGTTTGTCGAAGCTAAAGCCCAGACGTACAATCATGTCCTTCACGACACTGAAAAGTGTTTCCGACTTTGTGTCGGGTGGATTGTATGCCCCGATGAAATCTCCCCCCTTAGCCAGTTGTCTTTTTGAGTCAGCCACTTCTTTAGCACCAGTATATTGTCTGATCTTTTTTCCAGCAGCTCAATCAAGTTACCTTCTTGTTTTGTGCGCCCTTGCAAAGCCTGACCGGTAATGCAAAAGTATTGCACCGAACTGATGATCACGCGCAGCGCAGCTCGTGCTTCCTCTTGCTGCCTGCTTGCGTGCTTGGTGAGGAGTCCAGTTACGAACGACCCTTTCTTTTTCGTCTCGAGATACGTAACGGATTCCACGTGGTAGCGACTCTTTTTGTGGCCGCGGAATCTTTCGAGCGCCTTCCTCCAGTTTGAAAATTGAGTTTGTATGAAGCTGGGTTTTATGACTGCAGAGCCGTCTCCCTTCTCTCTAAGTGCCTGGATGCATTTCTGGCAAACGACAACATCGCGGTCTTCGATGTATTGAAGCCAGGAAAGCCTTTTGAACCACGAGTATTGGCATGATCTGTCGCTGTTATTCTTCGGGTATTCGTAGTTCTTCGCTGGGTGGAATCTAGGCAGAAGCTAATGGCCCACTTCATCTGTGTTGTGGCAATCCGCTCCGCGGTGAGGAGCCAATTTGATCGTGCTTCCACCATCATCGAGGGCTGAAGAAGTTAGAATGGAAACCCAAAAGTGTAAGTTCAATACATAGACTAGCAAAAAAAAAAAAAAAAATTGTAGGCAGTGCTAGAGTGCAGGAGAGCTGGTAGGGAATCAACATCTTGTAGACCCTGAGATGGGGAACAATATTTTGAGACTGTTGTTTTCGTCTTTTTTTATTGTTCTCCCCCATCTCAGGGTCTACAAGATGTCGAAAACAAGTAGCCAAAAGTTTACAGCATTGCTGTGGAAAGCTGAAATTTGACTGGGCAATTATCAAGCTAAATGTAACATAAGGTTTCGATTTTCTACGATATTTATGCAAACACATATAAACCGTGCGGTTCGGCGGCAGCTCAGCAGGAACAACCTCGGCAGGCGTAACCTTGGCAGGCATCACCTCGGCAGTGGTGATTGGTTCCTTGTAAATATAGAGCCAGATGACTCCCCAAGCTCTGGTGAATCTGGCATGTTGCCCAGAGGAAGCCTGGTTGCTGTTTCAACAAACGAGAAATCCAGTCAGAAGTAATCAACCATGTAAACTCCCAGTGAAATGCCCTATTATACGCACTCATAAAGTTACTTCGGTATAAAACAAAAGCAAAAACACAAGCTTTTCCTTTTTATTCATAAAATAAAATGCATTTGTTTTCACCTTGCAAATTATATGCATAGCCAAGAGCAGTAGGGAAATTAACAGCCTCTATGCTTTTTTGATGCACCTACAAGTTTGGAACAAGTTCTAGTCTAGACGGGGAATAAAATACAAAGTTTAGATTTTAAGCTACACTCAATTTCAAGGATAGAGAGGTAATTGAGGTGAAGAGAGTCAAAACTTAGCAAGAAGCAAGATAGATGTTAACTTTTGTTTTGCTTATGTTAGTACTTGTAAACTGCCTTGGTTTAGAGTATGGTGAGAACAAAAGCTGTATAGTTCATCCCACTCTACAGAGTGGTCCAGATGTTGGGCCAAGACCTAAATAAATCGCAAAAACCTGATGCACAAGCCACAGTAAGGTGGAGATTTAGCTCAGTTTATTGCAAACGAAAAAACGGTCCAAAATTGAGAGAGAAACAGGACAAAGTGCCCACTACACTTTAAGCTACAACACACTAATGGCTGGACAGCGTTAGTGTGTTGGCCCCAGAAAACGCAACGCATGCAGCCACTAATGTACCACATAGGTTTGGCGTGGTAGTAAATTTAATTTGTAAAATTACAAAAAAAATAATACTTGCCTCAGTGAAAAGTTACAAAAGAAAACAAGAAAATTCTCATGTATTCCAATGCAATAAAAAATGTCAGTACGGCCCAATGTTGGGCCGTACTGACGTCACGGCCCAACATTGGGCCGTGACGTCAGTATTGTTCTCCTTTTTTCCTCCGGTCCGAGCGTTGTGCGAAGTGTGCTTCTTTGAGCCGCTACCACCGCTACTTCGGCTTGTGATTGGCGTGTTTAGCCGTTGCTTTATTTGTAGCGCCCATGTAGCTTCGGTATAGCCTTTTGTTTATTTGCTTGTGAGAACTCCAAGACTCGTTTTAGCAAGCAACTTGGTGTGCCCAAGACTGCCCAGCTGTTCCTCGAAAGATGCCGAGTGCGACTTGTAGCACTGTGGGCTGCTCAAACAACCCGCTGCGCAACACGGAGGTGCTTTTTCACAAGTTTCCAACGGACCGGAAATTGGAGAAGGTGTGGGTGAACGCTATTCGACGAGTGTACTTTGGACTTCAGCTTTCACGTGCCCGAGGAAAAAAAGAATGAGAAAACAGACAGGTTGCAGCCCAGCACACGTGCGTTCAGGCGCCGCGGCCCGGGCCGGAGAGCCTCAAAGCTTTATGTTTGGGACTGACCCGCAGCGCGAAAGCGAGAGGACCCCCAGTGGCTGTACGTAACTGGCAGCGCGGCGTAGAGCAACGGCGCTCCATCCATGGAGCCTTGATGACAATATAGGCCTAGCGACGAGTACGGAAGGCCGCGCACATGGCGACAGCCACCGAGTACGGCACCGAACGAGTTCACTCATTTTCCGGTTGCTAGCTTTTGGGTATACAAGCGACGAGTAGGGCATAGCGCACGCACGGCGGCGGCCGCCGCCGAGTACGGCACCGTAAGAGTTCACGGGTTTTCCGGTCACTAGCTTTTGGGTATACGCACTAACTCTTGCTACATATATGCTGGATAACTACCACGTATACAGAATTAAAACAAAATCATCTTGCCTCCTATCTTTAGACGGCTAGCGCAACAGGCCGCTCAGCCTGCGTACTCGTTGAACGAGAACGATCCTTCATAATAGCAGCTGATTTTCAGTGTTGCCAGGGCCTCGAACGGCTAGCTCCGGTTTCGTTGGCCGCGCCCCAAACAAAACTTTGAGGCGTCGATATCTTTAAAACTACGCACAGTTAATAACAGACAGTTATTTTGTTGTTGTTTAAATTTGTCTTAGTTATTTTATTTAAATCGGACTAATATCACTGCAGCTAGAAATAACGACCACTTTACATAATAATTGAATGCGAGGTGAGCTTTTCTCCAAGTCTGTGAAAATACTGGTGGGCTTTTGTCCAGACCTGCACAAAAGTGGTTGAGCTTTTCTCTGGGATTCACCTGGTGCAATGATTACAGGCAGACATATGAACCCCCGGGGCTAATCACGATCCAGAGGAAAATCATCCCATATGTTGCTGCAATCTCATCTTAGTGCAGTGATGTGCACGTCGGAGCAATCTGTCGCACATTTTTCTATCTGTTTTCAGGTTGCACCTTGCAGCGAAGACACCAATCTTTTTCTTATACGATGTATGGGGTCTAAATTGACCTAACAGTCTGGGTATGTCATGAGAGTTTCAAGCTTCCGATCATCGATGAAAAGCAACAGGCTCCACTTATGCACAGCGTGTACACTTGTGATCTGAACGTTGCACATGGTCCCAGTTAAAAATTCCCATTGGGTCCAATTGGATTTTCCAATTGGTACCAATTGCCAAAACCATTTGTGTTTTGGAACGCCCCGTTGGAACAAATGCCAATTGGTTAAATATTACCAAATGGCTTTTTTCCAATTGGCACCATGACCAACTGTGTTTTGGAACGCCCAATTGGAAATATACCAATTAGTTTTTTTCCAATTAGAATCGTGACCGACTGTGTTTTGGAACGCCCAATTGGAGAAATACCAATTGGTGTGGTTCCGAAACGGAAGCACACCAATTGGTATCTCTCCAATTGGTCTGAAATTCCCATTAGAAAACAGCCAGTTCGTACATTTCTAATTCAAACTATAAACAATTGGAAAGATAGCTAGCAAGAGAAATTGGTTTTCTGATGCATTAGCAATTTACACAGCCCCCAAATGACTCCCAAATGAAATTTCAAATTGAGCATGTCTCACATAAGTATGTCCAGATATGCCAGCTGGATATGTTCCTAACAAATAGGGTTTTACTATATACAAAAAATTTTAAGCCTGTTCTGAAATAACACATTATTTTAGAAAATGCATCTTTTTTAGTCTTTTTTTTATGAGTTTTTTGCAGTCACACTAAATGGTGCCAGATACCTTTGCAAAATATAAGAAACAAGCAAAATTATAAGGAGCACATTTATTACAATAGAAGAGGAAACACTAATACCCAGTTCAGACCAAAAATGATTTTTCTTCCTTCTACCGAAAGTAGGACGATTCCTGAGAGACACTATGACGTCATTGAGCGTTTGTTTAACGTTCCTCCCACAGTGATGTCATAGCGTCTAGCAGGAATTGTCACCTAGTTCCGGTAAAAGCAAAAAGAAATTTCTAAAGTGTTCAAACTACTGGTCGTCCATGGTTGCATCCTCCTCTTGAGCAGTGTCTATAGCAGCAGCTTGCAGCCTAGAACGAAAACAGGCGACAAAAATTAGTAACCCAGGAACGACTGAGATCCAGTGTTCCAAGCTGTGTCACATCACCAATGCCCTATGGTACTAGTATATGCATCTATGCATCGTGACATGGGACCTCAAGCTATTTAAGGGCACATTATTTACGAGTTTCAAAATGCCTAGCTTGCATTTGTGAATTTGTTTATATCAAGAAATTGTGCATTCGAAAAGAGACATTTTAAACAAATTGTTCAGTAACTGCACTTTACTTTGTCTGAGCAAAAGAGAAAAAAAAAAACACTAGAAGGAAAGCCCTCATTTAGTTTATCAATATGCAATAAGTTAGGCCGTTACCTTCTGGCAGGAATGCCAGTCGGTATCATGACAGGGGTAAAACATGAAAGCAGAAAAATCAATGAAAGCTAGATAATAAGGCTTCAGTTAGTATGGGCTTCTGAATTATGATAGTGATCCAAGGCTTGTCGAAAATTTTAAAAAGGATAAACGGCTCAAGTCTAACACCTGGCCGCAGAAAGTTGTATGTTGTCCATTCAATTCGTTAGTTTTCTGCAATCTTAAGTTTCTACAACAAAATTAGTCCCTTTTTACATACAAAGTGAGAAATTTAATATGTTGTTATCAGCTGAGAGGGGATCCAAAGCTTTGCAGTCAGTCAAATTTGGGGGTTTTACATGCCAACCAACGACGGGCACCTGGCACGCCCCAGCGGAGGTTTGAGGATTAATTTGGACCACCTTGGCATCTTTTGACGTGCAACCGAAAGCTTGTTCTCCGCAACAGGCCTCCGTCAAATTGCGGGCACCTCGGCCGGGATTCGGACCCGCCACCTGGACACCCGTAGGCCGGCGCTTTGCCTTGGTGCCACAGAGGCAGGTTAAGGCTTTGCAGTGCGACCATTAACACTTTTGACTGCAAAGAACTATTCGTTCTGTGCACACTGGATCTCGGAAAGGATACAATTGTCATTATTTGCATGTGTGAGGCTAACATGCCGTTGATTGCAATGAGAACAGAGCTAGCTTTATTCTCACAGCTGTCCGAATTCAAAGGAATATTTATGAGAGCGCATGCTAGCTGCATTCTGCACAATGGGAGCATTTAATAATTTACAAATATTGCAAGCAACTTATGGCAATAAAAAGGGTGTTAAGAGCAACCTAAAAAAAACAGCAAATCTACTGAAGGCTCAAATACTGAATGAGGAAATAGTGAGACACTAGAAAACTGTTTGCTACAATGGAAAGCGTTTTACAATGCGATGTGTGTACTGCACGGCAAACTTTTTCCGTAACGCGGACGTGCGGCAACAGTTCCAAACATAAAAGCAGATAGAACACGCAAACTTGGCTATAAGAACACTTTAGCACACACGGTTGACCGTGAAAATATTCAGAACTTGCTTCAAGAGTCTGAAGGACAAAGAGCAAAAACCCCGCTCACCGCAGCTGCCACGGGACGGAGTTGCTGGTTAACCCCAGCATGTTGCGGTTCCCCAGGCTTTTCTTGGACACATTGATTGAAACAAGACTTGTTAAATGTTGGTAAACTTGATGAAAATGTCACATTTTCACATCCTCCTACTGGCATCCCACACACGTGTTCCCAGAAAAAACAAACACCTATTGGTGTCACTAGCGATGGGGCGTTCCAACTTTCAAACCAAAACTAGAAGTAAAAAAAATAAATAATAATAATAATTGCTTTGTTAAAAAGCCGTAAGATTATTAGTAAAGTATTTATTTATACATATATATATATATAAAAAGAGAGAGAGAAAATGCAGAGAAAGGAAAACAAAAAATGAATATGAGTAATATGAGTTGGCCAGTGAGCAGATTCCTTTGTTGACGTTCCCCGCACCCTTGAAAAAAAATCCATATTTTATCCTAGAGTTTATTTATGATTCAGAAGAGTAAGGTCACAATCTTTCACTGCAAAATTATTCTAGAGCTCTAATATCCAAGAATCCAATTGGAATAACTCTCCCAATTGGTTGCTTAATACCAATTGGAAAATTAACTCCAATTGGAATTGCCGATTGGTTAATTAATACCAACTGGAATATATATTTCCAATTAAAGTGACCAATTGGAAAAACGTATTCCAATTGGAATGGCCAATTGGTTGATTAATACCAATTGGAATATATATTTCCAAATGAAGTGACCAATTGGAAAAATGCATTCCAGTTGGAATGGCCAATTGGTTGTTTGGAATGGCCAATTGGTTGTCTTCATACCAATTGGATCCCACTGATACCAATTGGTACCAATTGAAATTCCAGTTGGACTCAATGGGAATTTTTAACTGGGGATTAATGAAAAAAACAATGAAATGGCACATTGCTTGTCTCGTACACACCGTGTGAGGTATGTGAATGCAAACATGCTGCCACACCCGAGATCGAAAACACGAGAACACAAGAGAACAGCTTTTAGAAATGGAGTCTGAATGACGTTTAGTTAGCTGCATTTGAGACATGCAGTATGTGTCTCTCCTTGTTTGTCCTCAGCCTTGGGATTTAGTACCAAGTCTAACCATAACCAGCTTGCCTGCCTCATACACTCTTTCTCTATGTTGCCATAAAATTTATTTAGGCAACATTTTGTACTAGTATTATGTTGTGCCAAGGAACAGGCAAGAGCGTGAGTTAAAGCTGCAAATTTCACATAGATTTATGTGTGCACAAAAGAATGCACACTTCCTCACCAGTTTCCTCAGAATTTAAATGAGTTAGGAAGTCCCTTAGTTGAGAGAGATATATGATAGTATACAAATTATCATAGTCTACCTATAAGTATATCTTCCACTGAAAAAGGAAACAAAATTATAGTGACACATTGGGTGCAGTTCAATCACTGCGTAGGTCCTAATTTCTGGTCGTTAGCATAAGAGCCTCTAACTTCACTGACATAACATAATGCTGCGGGTCCTTATGCGTGGTAACCATTGTGCCCCAGAAAGCTATTTAGGGGTAGGAATAGCTTTTGCACAGTTGAGCAAGCGTGGAGACAGCAGGGATAGAAATAAATAGTGATTGTTGTGTCATTTTTAGGAACCTCCATTTTCTGCGGAGAATTTTTGAGACTGCCAAATTTGTAAAAGGTCCGATTATTTACAAAATTGAGGATATTACAAACTTTTATAAACAAATCAATCTAGACACTTGTAGCACATATGACCACACAGTTTTCTTAGCCAAGTTAGGACTGTTACAGCTTTTTCTTTGGTGTGATTCCTGAAAAACAACTTTCTCCTCAAACCACTGATAAACAGTTTGAGAAGTATGTTTCGATAAACGAAATTCAATTTTCATGCTCTTATCTAAGGCATCTACAATGCTAGATGCACTTCTACGGGGCACTCTAACGGTGCCAGGCAACACTGGCCCAGCAACAGCCACCACTGGTGCCCTGTCTTGGTGCACTGGCCTGGCACTTGGCTCTGGCTATCCCTGCATCAATCAATATGCTCTTGCAACCAAATAGGAGAATGGCAGACTAGCATAGGGAGGAGAACATAATCTGAAAGCATAAATGTGAAACACACTACAAGTAAAAGTGATTAGGCTACTTGCCAATGTTATCGAAGACAGCATGCGTCAAACGAGTGTTTGTCTGCCTTAGGTCCTCCACCTCCTGCAGGCGCCGAACTGTTGCCTGGGCGTGCTCGAGCTCCGTCTTAGTTTGAGCACAGGTGAGGCACATGCTTGGCTCTCTTGCCCTGCTCAACTTTAAGCGGAGAGACTTCATCGTCTCCTCGGCTTCCTCGAGCATTGCCTTGGGTACGACATCAGGGTCCTCGTCGTCACTCGAGGTCTCCAGCTTCCTTTTGCTGATGAAGCTCGTGAGCTGTTGCTTCTTCGCGGCAGCCCTGCGTTGCTTCACAGTCTTGGCTGAGGGGTCAGGTGTTGACATGGAAGCCTAAAACAAATAAACACATGCAGAGTGGGAACAGAAACAAGTTAGCTAAGAAGAAGAAAGGGCAGAAAGGAAGTCAAAGTTAACCTGGGGTATTTTGTCCCGGTTCGCTACTTTATATTCCGCATATATCTGTGCTAATGTATAATTTCCATCAAAGGGGAGCATATACAATGGCGGATATTCCACACCAAATAAAAGTAACAATGGTTAGCAAGTCACATCTTCAAGGTATAGTGCGAGTAAATATAGATTGCTTAAGCTATAATGGGACAGCAATACTATTTTTCAATGCCTTATCTATGAACAGTATAAATTTGTTACAACAGACCTGGTTATACAACAGACATTCAGATATAACTTACTGATTGGTGAGGTTCACTTAGTTTTCCCATTTGCACCACTGATTCAGCTGCGTTTCTGCATACTACATACTCCTTTTGCAATGGAACGAAATCTTGGTTAATGTCAAAGTCCTTTTGACTCTATGCTGTGTTCAAGACCTTGGAGCTGGTGGAGCCGACGCTCGTGCTGCACAATGCAAAAAAAGCTGGGTTTGATTCCCACCCTTGCTTGTTTCCATCTGGATATGCATTGTATCGGCATACATTTGTGTGATCACTTGTGTGTGATAGATGTTAAAGACCCCAGCTATAGACTATAGTCAAGCCCATTACTTCCCACTGACTAACCCTCGATCATCAATGCAATTATTATTAACTCGAGTGTCAATATTTTTTTTATCTAAAAACTAGCAAACAGGAACAAATATGGATTCCCCTTCTGGGTTGACCGAACATTTAGGATTTATGTACTGAGGGTACTACTTAGCAAAACTTTAGACCGGTCCCTTAAAAGAAAACAGTTCTATTTACTTTCAACGGCCCCTCAAAAATTCGTGGAATAATCATCCGCTTCCTCTGCGACATCTCTTCCAGGAGTGCTTTCTTCGATTCTGCCAACGCAAAAGGAAAAACAGATAGCAACTGAAGACGCTGACATATTTTTTCCGAAATGCAAGTGCAAATTTTTTATGCCCGACTAAATAAGTTGAAGAGGTCAGTGCCTGCACGAAGTGAGTGCAAGTTTCATTGATACATATCCCACTAAAGTGGGATATCGTATCCCACTAAAGTGGGACTTCCGCCGCTTGGCATCGGGCGCTCGCGCGTGCGCAGAACGCTTCTCAGAAAAGGTCCATGGCACAGTCTCATCGTTTCCAGCCACCACATCTGCAGTCATCAGTCTCTTGCACTTCTCTTTTAACAGACTATGTAACATTACGAGATTTACAAAGCCAATACAGCTGGAAATAAAGGGGGAACAACTCGCCCGCTGAGCATGTGTAGCGTCACTTGCGGCACCTTTCGGAGGGCGAAGAAACTAAGAAAGTCTAGTTTACATTCCCAATGACAGGTGGCGCTAGTTGAAATTGTCGGGGCGCGCCCGACATTTGACCGCAAAGGAGAAATGGGCCTGTCGGGGGAGCCCCGACATTTGACCAGAACCTGAATATTTTTTTCGTCGGGGGTCACCTGACGCAGGACTCCAAAGGGTTAAGGAAATTTTAATCTAACGTCTCCAAAGTCAAGCGCAGTTTCAGCCGCAAGGAACTGCTAGTTTTAATTAAATGTGGACAAAAAGCATATTGTCGTTATGATTTATGTTGTAAATAAAAAACTGATTCATGATCTGCACGATGTCTGTATAATAGAAAATGAACACTATACCAACACTGTGCAATGATTGTTAGTAAATAACACTGGGCTTACATCAAGCCTGGTAACTTTTGTCCATTGGCATTGATTGGAAGTAACAAACTCAACTCGGAGGGGTGCTGGACTGAAATTTAGATTTCACAAAACAGTGCAGGAACACTAGGTGGGGCGCTACAAATCCTACAACTCCACTCAAAGCGATGTCTCAAATGGATGGCCGTACTTTGAAAGAAAAAATTACAATTTAATGAGGCAGACGAGGCATGTGACATTATCATTTTTTCTTCTTGCTTCGCCTCCTCTCTTCTAAACAAAAACATCATTCGCACCGCTCAAACACTTTTTTTTCTTCCAAAAATACAGACACTAGTTGGAGATTTCGCTGTATGACACGAGTGATTCTTTGGTATTTGTTACATTCCGTCAGAGTTCTGGTGCCGTTTTGTGAAAAAGTATGTGCAATTAATGTACTATGTGTATCACCATGAACAGTATGAGAAGGAACACTCAATCTGTCTTCTTGCTAGTTTTACGGGTCCCACAACCTCCATTATCTCCCAACCTGTCAAAGAATACATAGGTTGGAATCTAAACTTTGCCATCTCTAACCTTCGTCTACAATAACTTGTTCAGAACTTGCAGATGAGTAAAAAAGCATAGATGTCTGTTTGTGATAGAACCTGGCACTGTTTCACAGTTGTAAGAACTTCTAAGCTTGGGTGCATACACACATGCAGTAGTGATCAGACAACTGCACGCCAGTATCACTAATAGGGAACTGTACCGAAGTGCTACAAAAGTATGTTGGCACTGCTTCAAAATTTGAATATCCCCAATACAATAGTGCTCCGAAACTAGATCTTTCATCGTCCACATAAATGCTAGAAAACAGGGGGTCGGCATTCTTTTTCAGCAAAGGGTAGAGTCGTCGCAAGTGCAACGCTGAGCAGGTTGAACCGGAGGGGGGTAAAACAAATAGTCAATAACGAACAGCAGGAAATGTTACGATCAGTTCGATATAGCAAGAAACATTTTCAACGAACTTCCACGATGCGTTCGTTGTAAGGCAAGAGCCTTCTCTTCCTTTCCCAGCGCTTGTCCTGTCAATTTCTCTTCCTTGTGTCTTCGTTGTTTGCGCGCTGATTCCATTTTGTAACGATGAACCAACTCGCCTGCATTGCCACTTTGCTTCCTTTCCCATCTCCGCTTCCACCTTGTAACAATGCGATGGAAAGTTGTTTTTAGAGCGCAGCTCTTAGGGGCCCGTTGTCGGCTTGAGCGGCGTCGCTGTCGGCGTCGGCGTAACCAAGGTCACGTGACCCCCCCCCCCCCCAGGTCAAGTGCCACCCAAAGTCACGTGACCCCCCCCGGGACACGTGACCCCCGATGACGTCATCAGTGACGTCACTGATGACGTCACCGGCATCCGCATCGTCATCGTCATCATCACTGATGACATCATCGGCATCCGCATCGTCACGTGACCCCCCACCCAAGGTCACTTCACCCCCCGTACCCTTCCCTCCTCCTCCTCAAGAGCTGCGCTCTAATTCGGCGCTACAGGGAGTTGTAAACGGCTTTCACTTTTTTTTAGCTTAATCTTTCCTTTTGAATCGCTTCCCTTCGTGGGCAACAATTTGGGACGAAAATTTTTTTTTTCCTGTGCTTGCGTGCAGTGTATTTTTTAGCTTTCTCACACTTCTGAATCTCTTCTCTCCACTCAATTATGTTTGCAACTTGAGCTTTTGCAATTTTCTTTCTTTCCTACTTTTTTGAGGAGGAAGGGACAGGCTAGAAGACGATTGTTTGTGCTTTTTTGGAAACCTTTTGGGGGGGAAAAAGTTTGATATAGCCAATACGTTGTTCGTTACATGCATTTTTATTTAAATCTTCTGCGAGTTCGATATTGACAATAATTCACTGTTTGTGGGTTCCCTTGAAACGGGTTTCACTGTACTACAAAAATTTACAGGAATTCAGACTGGCATGAATAAATTGAAAACGAATGTTTTTATTTAGTCATGCCATAGTGTGACCCTTGGTTTGGGTGCTGGATATTGGGAAAATGCAACCACACGCATTAGAGTTGCTAATTTAAGGTTGTGAAAAGAATATTGGGAGGAGATTCTTCTCGAACTCTGATCATAACATGAACCTGCTAGTTACACAAGCTTTAGCAAGTGGAGGTGCAGTATATACTCTCTGGACAAAGTTCTCGTGCAATCCTGGAGATCTGGGAGGGCAGGACGGGTGGGGCACGATTTCTATAATGGTACTGGGAGGCCAGACGAAGCTGCCTCGCGGACCAGATTCGGCCTGTCGGCCACCGGTTGCCGACCGCTGCTCTAAACCGAACTGGCTGGACCACCACTGAATCTATATAAGAGAAGGCTTTTTTTTTTCATTATAGTAACTTTATATTTACTGTTGGCAATTTAATAATTGTACTGTTTAGGCTTGCAAGCTGTGTTTCAGTTGCAAGTGATTGTTAGTATGGTGTGTAGAAGTTTCATTTCGGAACTTGGTGACAGAGAATCGCTTTTCCGTATGCAATTCTAATGCAAACAGACTTGACAGAAACATGGGCCTGAGAAGGGTTCTGACCTGCGAAAGGGGACTCTGTGTAGAGTCGTACCAGCAATGAACACAATTTTTTGTTCCATGAAAAATATTGACCTCTTTATTGGAAGCAGTTCACCTAGACACGACACATGCCTCTAGAAGCACCCCCACCTTTTCATAACCACACAGTGTATTACATTAATCCAGTATTTGCACAATCTGAACGCGTTCCCGATGCTACCATGGAGTTGAAACGATGGAGCCTAACACTGATACCTCAGACAGCACATTTTATGAATGCACTTACACAAATTAACAGAATATTAAGGACTATAGTCTTACAGGTGAAGAATAGCAGGTGAAGTCTCTCTCTCTCTCTCCAGATTAGTGGAGTCAGCGCTGGAGAGGGGTGAGGAGGAAACAACACATCCTGGTGAGGAGCGGTGGTTTTACTTTTCCACCCTTCCTGCTATTTATAACCTGCAACGGACTATAGTCATTGTTGCAGTCCGAGGGGACTTGTTTGTTGCTGTCCAGAGATCGCAGAGAGTAGTCCTTGCTTCCACCAAGCGTTTGAGATGAAACCCTTTCAAAGCGGTCTCGCTGTCTTCTTTAATCATGCATGCACATCTCAAAGACCTCCAGGCATGCGACCAAAGTCACTCGCTCGGCCTCGTTTTCTAGTTTTTTTGGGGGGTCTGATATAACAAGCACAAAAATTTAACACTATTAGACAAAACCCCCCGAGACGAGAGAAAAACGAAAGACGACACAAACACAAAGTCATCTGAGACTGTGTTTGTCTTTCGTTTTTCCCTCGTGTCAAGGTTTTGTCTAAGAATGTTAAACTACAACCAGCTCATTCACAAAAATCTGTCTGTTTCAGTTGTGGAGATACGGTACTTCTGTATGTCTGTTATTTCACAAGGCAGCCTGGAGCGCCAATCCGTGTACTCTTATGGTTAACTGCTACCTACGGCAAGTACTTGGCAAATGATGAGGCTGAAAATATGTTTATACTGTACAGTGCATGCACACAGTTTTTGAGGTCTCAACATATCTTCAACCTCATCATGCACCAAGCAATTCCTCCACAGATTGTAGTGATTGGGGCTCCTGAATGCTTTTCGGGGAAGCAGATGCATGATAGCTTTCACTGAACGTGGCAACCTTCTTAACATGAGTACCTAAAGCCTCTGTAGTCGGAGGGCTTCGGGGCAGGGAATTCTTGTCACACTCTTGTCACAACACAGCTTGGCAGGGGGACCCTGTTCTCTCTTCCCAGCTTCCCGTATATCCACGATACGAACTGGGAGTAGGCAGTATATCTGTACTTGCTGCAAATATAAAATAACAGAGCGTCAGTTGAACAAGCAGAAACGAGATGTCACAAGCTGTAATTTCGTTAGGATGTACACACCGTGCCCGAGTCACCAATCACGAAGCACCACCGAAAGTTGGTGCTTCGTGATGCAGGGCAGGCTCCCAGCTTTTTCTTTGACTTTGGCCTGCTCTTTGCAACAGACACTCTCTGTGGTGGTGGGCATACTTGCACAGTGTGAATTGCAGCAGCACCTGTTTGAAGAAATCGGACACACATTACATTTCTGCACATCTCTATACACTATAGTCAGTGACAGATCAAGAGTGAAGTGGAAGCTCCTCCCACCCCTTTCCACTTCAGCGGAGCTACTGGTGAAGAGGAGGTCGTGTCTTCTCCCGCATTCGCTCTACTCAGGGGCGGATTTAGAGGGGGGGTCTGGATGTCCTGACCCCCCTCTTGATTTCTGCTTGTGTAAATTTTAGAGCGTAAAGTGAAGGAGAGGGGGAGGGGGTTCCTAAAAATATGGTACGCTGACCAACACCTGACCCCCCCCCCCCTCAGGAAATTCCTGCATCCGCCCCTGGCTCTACTACAGTGGAAAGAGGTGGGAGGAGCTCCAACTTCGTCCTTGACCTGTCGCCGACTATAGGTTCAAATTGCACGTAAAGGAATTAGCACATCTCTAGTACTGTGTATGATTTGGTGGAGCATAGAAAAGGGTTGTCTCTTCCTGGCTTTGGTTCTGATTGTATTGTTCAAATTACTTTTAGTTACTGAACTGGCTCCCAGCTGGTATCCACATCCAGATTGCTCTCTTTACAAATACAACTAGCTGGTGCCTTGAGCAGACTTCTAATATGTTTGGCAACACCTCACCAGTACCCAAGTAGCACCCAATGTTCTGCAAACATTCACTGGATATTCTGAATGTTGAAGGAACATTAAAACTCCTTTCGGAACGTCCGAGGAACATTCGTATGCGAACATCCCCTCAAAGTAAGCTGCTCAACATTTTAGGAAGGTTACCTTTCTGACATTCGTATGCGCAACATACTTGGAAAGTTCTCAGCTGAAGCCAACTTTACGGATATCTCAGGTTCGCTAGTTTTTGGAAAGTCAGCATAAGGGATCAGTTTCATCTTATATGAGCCTACCGAGGAATGTGGTGTAAGACGTAGAAGGAAAGGACGGGTTCTCAGAACTTGGTCATGAACTAGGCACTTACTGCATATGTAGAGAGGCAGTATTGAATAAACCAGATTTTTAGTATCTGTGGTTTACAACTTTGAAAAAGGTGTTTCCCAGTTAAATAAGCGATGCCATATGTATCTGTTCTGAAGCTCAGAGTGAGCAATCTGTTATGTATACAGCGAATTTTGAATGGAAGAAGTTGACAAGTAGAAGTTAAATTTCAATAGTATGTGCTACATGCTCAAGCTGGTGCTCAGGCTGGTGTGCTGAGAAAGCTGCTAGCTCGTGCTTGCACCTTCTAAAAATTTGCTTAGATTAAAAAAATATCACCCTGTGTAAGAGCTTTATGACATGCAAAGAATGTTTCCTGAATGTAGCGATAGGTACCCTTGCCACGCTCCGAGAAGATTAAAAGGATGGCCCTGCATAAATTCTCAACATTTTAAGAATGTTGTAGAAGTTCTTTGGATGTTCTTAGAACCTTGTTAGGATATTTGACTGTTAGCTGAATGTCCCGGTAATGTTCTGTCATTTTCAGAACGTTCCAAGAATGTTCATCTGTAAATTTGCAACGTTCCAGGAATGTTGTGAATGCTCTTTAGGATGTTCCCAGAACATCCCATCATTGCCATCACATAGCAATGATAAGCATTCAATTTTAACATTTCAAGTGGTGCCCCGAATGTGAATCTCAAACATCACGCTAAGAAAATTGATTGGGTACGTCCGCCGTACCTTTAGAACTCCGCATTGCGGGTACACTTTTGCGGCCGACTGTACGTCCGACGCATACAGCCTTTGTAGTACCCGATGCGGACAGCACGCGCTCACGGGTAAAATACAAAGAAATCGACGAAAACAAAATGTCGCCATAGCACAGTCAGTGCCAGAAACGCCTGCATGGGCACATTCTGCCACGCCCTTTTGAACAAAAAAGAAAAATAAACTTGTGGGACAAAATGGCCAGATGCCTCCACCCTCAGCAAAGCGCACATGAAGGCACCCTAATTTGTCCAATGTTTTATTTTCCACGAGTTGCGAGGCCACCAGTTTGCCTGTATCTTATTTCATACGATCGATGTTCGTGCAACTCTGAAAACGCGCAGCCTTACCAGAGTGTGTTGTGTAGCCGCCGTCCGTCGTCGCGCGGTACGCCTTCGGGGGCTGCTATATCGCTGTCGTCGGACGACGCCGATGGGTCACAGGCATACGGCACCACTTTCGGCCTCTTCCTTGGCGGTTCTTCGTTCTTCGTCCGACGGCACGCCGCTGCCGCTGCCACTGCTGTCAGACGTCATCATGGCCAAAGTGCAGTTGAAGTCGCCGCCGTCGCTACGACGCAGAGGCCAGATTTATAAAAAACCTCTTGCCTACGACAACTTAGCTACGAAGTTCGTAAAGTTACGATCATCGTAAGATGAGGCGAGAACGGTATTCACAAACGCGTTCTTAAGTGAGAGGAGGAAAGTTACGACCTCTTACGGAGAAACGATGACTTCCGGTGCTGTTGCTATGGCAACGGCGTCTTCGGCAAAACGAACAACCAATTAGAGAGCTGGGCATAGTTCGCAGCACGTGGATTTTTAATAACAAACACAGGCTAGCCACTTGTTGATAGACAGCTCTGTGTATGTCCTGTCCTGTCTGTGTGTAAATGTTTGGTGTTCAAGCTGATTCTCATAAACACGGGCGGCCTTTCCACCACTGCTTTTCTGGGGTTCGTGTCCGTGCAGTGGTATATCAATGCTAACACGATTTAAACGCTTCGTTGACTGCTACAAACTCGATCGCTACGAAGTCAACACAACTGTCATCGTTGGTGAAAGCCCCGTGCCAGTCGTTTGCAAAGCGACGTAGATGGAAACAAACCGCCGCGGCATTTCTCGCGGCCTCGGAAATGCAGGAGTGAGCCGACGTTAAAAAAGATATGTTTGAACTACGAGTGTCAGCAAGAGTCACGCAAATACTTGTTCACGCTCAAAGCGGACGCGTGCGTTTGATCGAAGTTCTGGATTCAGACTGCGTTTCGGTAAGCGCTTCGGGACCGATCTTCTATGATTGCAACTCGAAACTGACGTGACACTCGGCAAAGAAAGGTTGGACCAGCATCGCGTAGCTCCCACAAACTGATATAGCTCAACAGTTAAAAATGGCATACTAATGACATAGTGTACATACCGTGTTGCGAAGGTAATCCATACGGCGTTTATTTGAGCTCTATATCACACAAAACAAGGAGATGGAATTGAGGAGTCCCTTTTCGATGACAGCGTTCGTCACCGCTGCCTCGGAAAACAAGGTGATAGAGATAAGGGGAATAGGTTGACCTCTGAAATTTAGTTCAGCTATCAAACTATTCATACAGGAAGGGTCCACAAGGGTCGCGCGGGCATATTCCATTCAGCAAGCCAGCCGGTCGTGGGCAGACGGTCTTGGCCAAAAACCGTCTGAGCAATGCTGCGCCGGAACGGGTCGGAGTGCCTGCTAGGCCTATATATACTGCCGAGCTCGCTTGGTCGGTGGGATCGTTGCCTTTGTTGCCTTTTCCGGGTGTTTGTGAATCTAGCGTTGATGTTCGTCTTGGTCGGTTTGAAGTACTTCTTCATTTTTTTCTTGCTGCTTGAAGTCGGGACGCGCAAGAAGAGCAGGTAGAAAAATAAATGCCCGTTGGTCGTCGCAACCGAGCAACTGAGCGACGTTGTCGGCCATGTTAATTTGATCGTAGAAAGTGCGTAAGACAGCTTCGGAGCTGTCGTAGGATTCTGTCGTAACCTGCGCAAAAGTTAAGACAATTTCGTTTCGAGAATACGGATTTTCTCTCAAATTTGTCGTACGTATTTTTTTCGGCGTAAGTTCGCTTTAAGAATCCGGCCTCAGGTGCAGAAGTGGACTGGGGGCCCTGGGGTGGCTGGCAGATAGTGCGCAGCTAACTCCGCTGGATTAGTTGGCAAACTTCCAACGCGACGGGCATCCGTCTACTATTGTTCAAAGCGCAACTTTCTTCCACGCTGTGGCGCGTCGGCAGCTCGAAATGTTCACGTCAGTTCCGTTGCGGTATGATCACGTCAGTTCCGTTGCGAGTAATCCCAGAGGGCCTCGCGCGCGTCGGAGGCTTCTGGCGCTTTTGGCTCAATCGGCGCTCGTCATTCCGAGAAATATAATAATCTAATCTCCATCCCTTTACATGAATAGCATTTTTAGGTATAGTGCGGCCCCGGGAAGCTTGTCCGGGGCTTATTTCGGCAACTTCAGATATCGGTTCAGCATCCCTTTAAGACATTTTGGAGCAACAAGTTTGTTCAATGTGTATAGTTTGAACAAAGTAGAGATTTTTACTCACTAGCATTTCAGAACTCATCTTTGTGCTTGTTATTTGTAATGTGTTTCATATTTCCCCTCAATGCCATCTTACAGTGTCAAAAAAAAAAAAAAAACATAAAACAGCAAATGCTTTTTGCCTAACTACAGCGGCCAAAAATGTTACAAATGGAAGTTACAATGATTGAAAATAAACACACACATAGCACGCAACAGCTGTGTATCTAAACCTGTGTGGCACTCGTGCATCAACAACAGCTCTACTGGAACAAAATAATGGCTTCTATAGGTTCACTATGCCACTATGTTCACTATGGAACAAAATAATCGCTTCTATAGGTTCACTATGCCAGTGATCACAGTGAAGATCTCGTCAACATACGGAAGAAGATTTAGATCAAACCGATGTCGTAGAATTCGGAAGAGCTTCATTCTTTGAATTGCCCTTTCTACGTGTACTCGAGCACTGGCTATCAACTGATTAGTCCTGGCTTCCTCTGCAGTGAGCTGCTTCTCCATTAGGAATGGAGGCCTTATCACTTTTACATTTTTTTCCCGGCACAGCTCACTGATAAGAAATGCTTTGTCAACCATGACAAAGGATGCACTCCACACACTGTCAGTGTGTGGAGTGCATTTGTCAAGTATCTGCGACTCCTTTGTTATGAATGTGTCGGATGCTTTTCCGCCATACGCTGGGCTATCATAACTAATTAAGCCTGCCAGCGTTTCGCTCACCAAGACCTTGGCCGTGTACGTCTCTTTGTAATGACTGTACGTCAGCAACCTTGACACGAGGTCTTTGGGCCTCTCAATTTCAATTTCTGTACAGTCCAGTATCATCCTGGTTTCTTTGTATTGCCAGAAATATCTGGTGAGACAGCTTACCACGGCTTCTTTTTCGGGCCAGAAAACGGCACGCTCTAGGATGCTTGCGAGAACTACAATGGATTCTTTAAACATGTTGGACGCTGTAGTCCCTTGAATACCAAATACAAAACGGGGAAAATGTAATGTTATGGCAAAGCTTCATGAACGTGAGCAGCTCAACATCGTCATCACCTAAACAGAAGCTACGGGATGACCGAAGAGTGCGGGCTTCTGTATATAGTTCCGTAATATTGTAAAACAACTCAAATGAGCAAATTCCAGAGAGCACGAGCAACCCGTTTTCATCCACTACTTTGGAGATTGTGATCAGCTAGTTATCACGGTAGGAGGGACTACTGGTGGTGTCAGCTTGCACCCCAGTTTCCTGTCGGAACTTGTCAAGCTCTGCACTGACCACGGCAAACAAAGGAAAACAAATTCCGAGTGTAAATCTCAATTCAATCATTCATACAAATGAAAATAAATCATTCCAATGATATTTTTCCTGCCTTCACAAATTGGGACGTGGTTGTCGAGACCCGGCCATGTCGGGGATCGGTGAGGCGTTGGCACTTGTTGCAGTCAAGACTTCAACCAATGGTTCAGGCGTAGGTAGCATCCGAATCACTGATAGCGAAAAAAGAAGAAATTGTGGTGACATCTGCAGTTGCATTCCAACAGATTTACATCACTCAAGCAATGCTATAGGAACCGTGCGCATCTAATTCAAGCCCCGACCAGGGCGCCCGTAGCGGCAAACTACGGCAGGGCGGAATCAAGAAGTGGAATGCGGTCGCCTACCTAAGCCTACCCTTGGATGTTTCCATCAGCCTACAGTGGGAATCGCAGAACGGCGCGAAAAAAAATCGCCCAGTTATTGTCAAGCTGATTCAGAGATAAACGTACCTATTACCACAGTCCACTCAATGCCAACCAACCAACCAACCAACCAACCAACCAACCAACCAACCACAACCAACCAACCACAACCAACCAACCACAACCAACCAACCACAACCAACCAACCACAACCAACCAACCACAACCAACCAACCACAACCAACCAACCACAACCAACCAACCACAACCAACCAACCACAACCAACCAACCACAACCAACCACAACCAACCACAACCAACCACAACCAACACACAACCAACACACAACCAACACACACACACACACACACACACACACACACACACACACACACACACACACACACACACAAGCCAATTAGGCGCCGGCGCAGAGCGTAACCGGTGGCTGCGTTCTGAGAACAACCAATTGCTGCGCTCCGCGTCGGCGCCCAATTGTCCTTGGCTGCGCGCTCGAAGGTCATTGAGTTTGTGCGTGCGCGCACTTCCCGCGGCAACGGTTGCGCCAGTGGAGAGAGCCTTTTTATGGTTTTCGCTTTTGTCATCTTATTTTAGCTTTTGTACAGGGTTTGTTTTAGGCGTCGGTTAAAGGCTGCCGGTTTGCTTGGTTCCGAAGTCGAAAAGGAAGCGGGGACCCGCTTTCCTTTCGGCGTTCGTCACCTTTGCTCAATCACTGTGGCTTCTTGCGATTTTTTTTTTTTTCTTCTTTTTTCGATGATTCTCTTCTTTTTTTTTTCCGTTCACGTTGGACCGAAGGCTGCAGTGGTCGTGGCTTCGAATTGCGCTTGCTCGGAGGAGGCGGAAACGAGCTACCCGCGAAGCAGTGGATTTTGCTCGACAGTAAAATGAGTCGCAAGTAAGATACCAACCCGAGATTTGAATTCATTTAATCTCCTGTCTACCTTCGCTATACACAGACAAAAAAAAATCACATTTTTAAACTTTTCCGAAACTTTTTGAGCTCGGTACCCGAGTCATGGCCCACCCCACAATTTTAGAGAATTTCAGGGGGTTGGGGGGTGGGCGTTGACTCGGGATATTGCGGTACCTAATTACTTCAAGATTCAACCCAACTTTTTTCAGCTTTGTGCCACGTCCTTTGAGTTCTGCATTTGTGTAAAGAGTGTTTTCACTTTTGGTTCGTGGGGGCAGCGAAACACTATATAAACACAAACTTCTGTGGAATAAAAATCAGCTGTATTTGAGACGGTGTTGTGTTGTCCTTCGTCTTTTCCCCAGTCTGGGGGTGTTGTCTTAAATTATGTTAAACCTTCCCCAGCTCGTTCGCACCCTAACTTTTTATTTGTTTACTTCATTGTATTTCTACCTACTCATTATATCTGTCTACACTGCTTACAGTTGACTTTTGCTGGATTTAGACAGTGCTTCACTGGTATATTTTGGTGATATTGGGAGCTCATTAATATTGGCCCTTGCCTGGTGCACAACAAAGCCATTGTCAGGTAGCGTGTCAGGCACATTAGTTTTTTTTCTTCGAAGATTTGATCTTTATGGGCAATAAAACATTGATTTTAAGTGAAAAAAAGAGTGTCAAAGCCTAAACACAAGATTTTCGTACGTAAACTGTCACCCTCCATGGGTGACAGTTTACGTACGTACGTGTTTTCCTGTGCTATCAGGGGGTCCAACTGTATGGAGATGGAAGGCTGTGGAAGCTGGTGAGGATGTGCAGCATTGTGTCTTTCACGTGAAAAGAACAATTTGAATGTGCACTGGCTTAATAAACAAGACTGGAAAAAGGGCAATGCAGTTAAGCAAAAGTACAAAATGTTCACTAAGTATGTGGAGTGAAATAGCTATGCACCTACACAGAACTCGGGGAAATTAGACTGTTTTCTGGTTACCATAAATTGTTCTCAGTCGTTGCACATTTTTTCAAAAATAAAGTTTGCTTATGTCTACTAACTGGGTCACAGTTCATTCATGATGCAGCTGCATTTGCGTAGACTTCCTCTGTCACACAGGCACGTAGGCCTTTGGGCATTTGAAAATAATTTTGGAACGAAGGGTTCTGAAGAATCGGCGAGCGAGTGCGTGCTGAGCGGCGCGCGCGAGTCGGTATCGCGAGCTGTTTCGCCGCTCGCCTAAAGGCGGTAGACGTAAATGCTATCTGGAATGCCAGTGAGACAGGGATCTAATATTTTTATGCTATTTTTTTTATAACTAGGAGGTAAAGTCCGAAACACTTACGCCGCTGTTTCGCCGACCCCTCTTACGATCGCATTCTGTCGTGTGGACGCATGAGGAGGTTCGCCGATGGAATCGCCTCTGCCGATAATTTCTGGCACTTGTAACCTGTTTATAAAAGAAAAATAAACAAATACGCTCATGCTGTGTACGGAGACGTGTCGGTATCGATCTTGCCTAGTATCTTATACACGGGGTAGACGAAATCCTCTTGGAAGTGCTTGCTGCACACAAGGGCATACTTTGGCGCTGGCTTTCCCATTCTTAATCAGCCACGCTTTCTTCAATCTCGTCGACTTCGGGTACAGGTGAAAGCTGATACCTGGTTCTTTTCTGGCTTTGCATTGTGGCACTGAACAGAATGCCACCATAGCAGAGACTGTGCGAGCGTGGACCAAACCGTAGACAGGTACGACTCGGGTCGCTGCGTTCCTTTGCCTACGTCACAATACACTTCATCCAATCAGGGCGCAGCGACCGCAGCGCCGCTCGCGCTCGTTCACGGGGCTAATACGCGAGGAGTGCTCAAGTTTCGCCGCTGACTGCAGCGCTATCCCAGGCCCTAGTGAGACGCTTTGGTACTATCAGATCGCGTGGTTTGGCACGTCTGACGGCTTTTTGCTACGCGTTTCGCTGCCATCTTCGTCGCTTCACGAGTTATTTACGTAGGAGGAATGGAGAAAAAGAAACGTAAGCCTGACACACGATACTGTTGCGTAGTTGGTTGTAGCAACAATCTCGGGGAACGGACTAGCAAGTCTCTGCACCTCTACAGTTTCCCTGGCAAAGTGTACGAGACCCAATGACGGCAAGCTTGGATCACGGTAGTGCGCCGACAGAAGTAAGTACTTTATTAGTAGTGCATGGATTTCGCTTAATGCGCCGATAATGAAATGGGACGGAATTACCGCTTTTTTTTTTTCGGACTATAGGCCGCGGACTATTCATGTTTAAAAGTTGAAATTTTACCCGGTGCGGACTATCTAAAGGTGGATCGTTCCCTGTGGCAAGACACGAAGGATATATTAATAGTGATTTGTGTATGATACAAGCTTCTTTGTGAGCTAATACAGCAGGCATTTTTTAAGGTGTGCTGTGTATGATAATTTTCTCGTTCGGATTAGACACTAAGTGCGGAATATGTGCCGCGTGCGGACTATCTGAGCAAAAACTTTTATTTTTGACCCCAAATTCTCTTTTGCGGACTATAGTCCGGAAAATACGGTAGTATGACGGTCAGCATAAAAAATGTGGATATGCCAAGTGTGGTAAAGCACTGTGGCAATGCCGGCGTCATGAGAGTTTGCGATTTACGTGCTCGTATCATAGCATTTATACAGTGACGCTATGCTACTCTGGTAAACATATTTCGCCTAAGATATTTAAAAATGTGATGTCGACTTGGAAGCTAATAAAGGTCGGCCTGATTTTCGGCTGGTCAGGCCAGAGCTTGGTCTCAGGTTATTTTATTTTCCAACGAGGATGGCTCCAAGTGGTTGTCGTCCCCGGCGACGAGAATTTGCAGTGTCCATTTTGTGGACAGCTGTAAGAACGACATTGAGGCACACCCTCGTACATCCCCACCATCTTCCCGCCTGTCTACAAGAAAAAGGCGCCCAATGTAGAGAGGGCAAAGAGGTAATAGTAATGTGGTCTAGCATATAGTGCAAGATGTGACATGTTCAACCTTTCAGGATGCTGAAACGATCCAGCCGCTGCCAACCCATGCCACCTCTAGTGGGGACGCCTCCTGACCCTCACACGGTTTCTGAGCCAGAGGCTACATCAGAGGCCGAGAGTTCCAACTGGGGTTCCTTTGCGACGCTCGTCCACACGGCAGCCTAAGCCATGCCTACGAAGTGCACGTCTGCAATGGTAATTAACGACAATTTATGGGGGTGGGGGCACCCTGTGACTGCAAGTAATATTGTTTTAAAGGCCCCACTTCTAGGACTGTAAATGTAAGTTCTGCCTCAGCATAGAGTATAATACTCTGGACCTTTGTTTCTTACTTTTCAGTGCCTACCATCATGAGCGTACAGTATTTATAGATTTGTTTGTGGCACAGGATGTTGAGTGCTAATTTAATTTCCGTGTTACTGTTCTTAGGCGACGCAGACTGATGACGAGGGACTGGATGGTGGGCCACTTTGGCTCCTGCTGTCTGCCACAGATGGACACAACGGATCAACGCAGGTCACTCACACAGAGCAGGTGGGTGAGGTAATTTTAACAGAGGAATAATACATTTAACTTTAATATTCTCTATGGGAGGATGTCACAACTCAGTTTCTATCCTATGCAGCTGTGTTTAATGGGAATATTTTATTCTAATTTTCCTTCCAACCATTAAATCCCAAGCACGGCCTCAAGCACGGCCCCAAGCACGGCCCCAAGCACGGCCCCAAGCACGGCCCCAAGCACGGCCCCAAGCACGGTCCCAAGCACGGTCCCAAGCACGGTCCCAAGCACGGTCCCAAGCACGGTCCCAAGCACGGTCCCAAGCACGGCCCCAAGCACGGCCCCAAGCACGGCCCCAAGGACGGCCCCAAGCACAGAAAGAGATTGGCGACGGCGGTGCGGTTTCCTTGGGTTCCAGTCTCTCAGAGATTCAGAGCAGGCACTGCAGGACCCATATGGTGTCACAATGACTGTTTTCAGCCTCCTACTGTGTCTTACACCCGCAACCAGGTACAGAAGTAGTGACATTCCGGCTGAGGACAAACTCATTCTCTTCTTAATGAAACTTAAGTTGGGGATCAGTTACACCGCACTGGCCGCTCTCTTTTTCGTCCACAAGACCACAGCTTCTTGGATTTTTAGGACCCTACTGGACACTCTTAGTGTGAGGCTTGAACGATGGGTATTTGTGCCAGCCCGTGAAATTATCAAGGAGTTGCTACCACCAGCCTTTAAAACGCACTACCTAGCTTGCACATTCATTATTGATTGTACAGAAATTAGAACTGAATCTCCATCTGACCCTGAGCAACAGCACTCCCTGTACTCCAGCTACAAAAGTGGTTACATCATCAAATTGCTGATTGGCATAATTCCGAATGGCATGATTTGATTTATATCTGAGATCTATGGGGGCCGACAAAGTGACTGCCACATAACTGTTAACTCTGGATTTCTGTCCCTGGTTCAGCCCGGTGATGTTGTTTTAAGCGACAAGGGCTTTCCAAGCATCCGAACTACCGTGGCTGAAAAGGGTGCCCAGGTGAAAATGTTGCAAGTGGAACCTTTCGAAGAGGTCCCACTTGAAGTGGTTTATCGAACAGGCACCACTTGGCAAGTGGAACCACTTCAAATGGGACCGCTTCAAATGGGACCGCTTCAGTGGGACCACTTCATGGGGGACGCTTCAAGTGGGACCACTTCATGGGGGACGCTTCAAGTGGTCCCACATCAAGTGGGACCACTTCAAGTGGTCCCACTTGATGTGTGACCACTTGAAGTGGTCTTATTTGGAGTGGGACTACTTTAAGTGGTCCCACTTCAAATGAGACCAGCTGCGTTTTCCGTAAAAGACTTCATAATCATGGTCAAATATGTAAATCCATATTTTATTTGACACCTTTGATTAGCAAATACAAAATGAAATGTGTCCTGACAGTCCAAATGAGCCTTGAAGTATTAAAATTATATCAGTTTACTTTTTTTTTTCAAATTACATTAAGCACACGTGTCAAGAAGTCATTCTCGATTAACTTTACATGGCCCCTCTTTTTCTAGTACAAAACGACGTATGCTTCATAAAGAAAATCTACCTGCTTGGGAAGAAATTAAGTTACCTTACTTAAAAGCAACATTGGAATGAAAAAAGTTTCAAACAGTCGGTATAGGCCACAGATATCACGAAATATACTTTAAATGAAAAATAATTTAATTAGAGCAATATATACGGGGCGAGGACCATTTTAGTTTGATTTCATCTGTAGCCACTATTCGAAGGGAAATGTCAAACTAATAGTAACCCTTTTTGCAGTCTCCCATTTGTTTGGAAGGAGAAAGATTCCTCAGCTGTTTATGTAATCTTTGTTGTGTCTAGTCCCATGAATGACACGTCTTTCTAGAGAGTATTATCTGTGCGACATTCTTCAAATGGTGGCTACTTTTGAGAGTGACTATTTGACAAATTGATGCAAACTAAAATCAGTCTCGAACCGCAAATATTACTTCAATTCAGTTGCTTTCTCTCCAATAATAACTTCTGACATATATGTCCTATCCAGACGGTTTAAAAAGGGTTTTTTTGGCATTGCGGTGACTTCTGAAGATGAAGTAAATTTAATGTACACGTACAAAGAATACATCCAAGAGAAGTATGTACATCTGAAATTCCTCTTATTAACAAACAAAACTTCAACAATGGTAGTGTCAAGAATCTCAGAGTGAATATAATTAAACTATCCAAAGTAGGATATAAAAACAAAATCATGTCTACCTTCATTCATGAAAATGAACAAAAGACACTAACTGTCACAATATTAAAACCAAGAGCTGTTCACTAAACAATGCATGTACATGGAAACACTTCAAATAAACATATCAAATCAGGAGACATCAAACTGGTAATTGGGATAGAATAATGCTTGCAGGATAGGCACAGTCTGGGAAAAAAGTTTCCACACTACAGGAGCTGTGGCCGATTTACATTGCTGCACCCTCTGATGACTCGGCACCTGGCGTTGAGACCGGTGCTTGGCTTTGTGCATTCTTCCATACTCGCAGGGATGCCGATTTCCTCGCTTGCGGCTCCCGTGCCTCGATTGTTGGTAAAATGCCGCGTGGCGCCGCTGCTACATCCTTTACTGTTTATCAGTTCAGGTAAGGAAACATTAAATGTAAAAAGTGAAAGCCGTTTACAACTCCTTGTAACACCGAATTAGAGCGTAGCTCTTGAGGAGGAGGAGGGAAGGGTACTGGGGGGTGAAGTGACCTGGGGGGGGGGGGGGGGGTCACGTGACCTTGGAGGGTCACGTGACGATGCCAGTGATGTCATAACGTCACTGACACATTGTCATCGTCATCATCGCTGATGACGTCATCGGAGTCCGCATCGTCATCGTCACTGATGACGTCATCAGTGACGTCACTGATGACCTCACCGGCATCCACATCGTCATCGTCATCATCACTGATGACGTCATCAGTGACATCACTGATGACGTCACCGGCATCCGCATCGTCATCGTCATCATGACGGATGACGTCACCGATGACGTAATCCGTGATGATGACGATGCGGATGCCGGTGACGTCATCAGTGATGATGACGATGCGGATGCCGGTGAGGTCATCAGTGACGTCACTGATGACGTCATCAGTGATGATGACGATGATGATGCGGATGCCGGTGACGTCATCAGTGACGATGACGTCATCGGGGAGGTCACGTGACCCTGGGGGGGTGGTGACGTGACCTCGGGGGGGTCACGTGACTTTGGGTGTCGCGTGACCTGGGGGAGGGGTCACGTGACCTTGGGATGACCTTGAAGGTCGCGTGACCTTGGGGTGACCTTGGTTACGCCGACGGCGACGCCAACGGCGACGCCGACGCCGCTCAAGCCGGGAATGGGCCCCTAAGAGCTGCGCTCTAAAATAAAGTTTATCATAATAAGCGATAACATTCAGACGGCATTCAGGAAGGCATGCTATCACTGGCAATGGATACTAGTTGGGTTGAGTGAAAGGAGCTGGCGAAAAAGGCACGCCACCGTAAAAGCTGGTAAGATCTGCGAATTTTTTCTCCGCTGATTCACGGGCACCTCTTACCACTGCTGCTTCCGAAGCAGCATCATGTGACAGGTTGTCAACAATCGGAGCGCGGGAGTTGCAGACGAGGAAACCGGCATTCCTGCAAGTATCGCAGGATGCACATGCGCGAAGCGCCGGTCTCGACGCCAGGTGCCGAGTCATCGGAGGGCGCAGCAATGCAAATCTGCCACAGCTCCTGTGGTCCGGAAACTTTTGTTTCCAACTGTACATGCCAAAGAAAAGCGGCGTAATACATTTTTTTCGCATATGGCAGAATTTAAAAAAAAGGTGTTCTGGGTTTAACTGATATGTGCAGGGGTAAACCTCCAATATTCCCATTTATCTGTATCCTTGTTCATATTGCATCTTCCGTAGAGACCCCCTAACTAGGCATGGGCGAACAGTGCTCTGAACTGAAAGGTTTGCATTTTTTGTAGCTCTTACAGCACAATTGCATTCCTACTCCTAAAGGCTGGTTCACACTCTTGCAACTGAGTACGACCGAGAGAGGCAAGACCGGTTTTAATCCTCTTGCAACTTCTTAGTACCAGCTCCGCAGCAGCGCGCCTGGTCCTAAGAAGTCACAAGAGGATTAGAAACCGGTCTTGTCTCTCAGTCGTACTCGGTTGCAAGAGTGTGAACGAGCCTTAACTCACAAAAAGCTGTTTTAGATCCCCGCCTCTGCTCAATTCACATGTCCAAACGCCTCATGCTCTTGCGCACATTTTGAATTTTTTGCGACAGAATAGTAGACATGTTCTTGAGGGCGTGTGTCACAGATATTCCTGTTCGGGATCCCCAGTATATCACTGTCTCTGCAAGACAGCAGAAAGCAAAGTGTATTACGCATAGATCACACATACAAAAAATATGTGCAAACTTACCAATCACCAGGGCCACTTTTTCAGGGGTCATCTCCTTCCTTGCAGTGGCACCAGACTTGTAATAGTCTTTTGGGGCTAATTTACCCCCATAGGTTCGTTCGGCCAGCCCCCGGCGACCCCATATTGCTTGTGATATGTCCTTTGCTACTAGCGCTGGCTTCGTCTGTCCCATGGCTTTCTTTGCTTGCTTGCTGCCAACCGTCAGGCCCCTTTTCAAGTGGAACTACAGAAGTAGTAGAAACATCATTTAGAAGCGACCTTGAATACATGTTAGTTATATGCTTACCCTGCCACCACCGATGTCAGTAAAAGGAGCATGACCCGCAGCCTGAGGGTCATCCACTGATGAGAGGCCAAGATTTCATAAGTTAGCCAAAATATTGAAAAGAACACTAAAACAACACTGGTGCCTAGTCAACTTGGCTACTTTACCTGTGGCTGATGGGGATCCCGAGGTGGCTCTTTGGAAGCTCCTGGGTTGGTCATCTTTTGGGAGGATACTTGGGGGATCCCTTGGGGGCGAATCTAGCAGCTCAGTGTTGGGCACTTCTGGGGGTCCTCTGGCCAAGCTTACTGGAAGATTGGGAGGAGGTGTTGCTCGTGCTCTCTGCACACTTGTCTCCGGGACGTGTCGATGTGGTATGCAGCCTGAAACATGTGTCCCTCAAGTATTGAACTTTAAATGTAACACTGGGTAAAGTTGTGGATAGGTTATCCATTGTAAGTCATTTTATTATCAATACTTTTGCAAGTTGAGTCAAGAATGCTCGGCATATTATAGCATACATGTACTGGACAGGCCTCAAAATTCTGTGTGAGCGATAGGCCAATTATGACATATACAGTGGTGGTCCAGCCATATTAGGTTTTGGAGCAATTTTTGGAGCAAGAAAAACCCAATTTTGGAGCAATTCGTATCACATAAACTCCCCTTTTGGAGCAGGGAAAAGCTCGTTTTGGAGCACCTTGGTATCAGGAAAACAACATTTTGGAGCAGCATGAACATAGAGCAGTTCTGTGCCATGTCTTTATTATTATATATATATTACGGCTGCCCTTGTCAATCTTACCTCACCCCCTATATATATATATATGTCTGTGTGTGTCACGAACATCTGAATTTCATATAGTAATTTACAAAGAAAAGAACTCACCATAAGAAAACCATTTTATTTATGACAGAACATTCTTGCAGCTAAAGCTTAATTATGTAACAAAATATCACAGATGAAAACTAAAATATTGCTTAATACTTCTTGCCTTTTGACTGTAGGCTATATATCACAGGTGAAAAAAAAAAATTGACTCAATGCTTTTTGCATTTTTTTTTTCAGTTTGTCCAGCTCGCAAAGAGTGCGTGACAAAGTAGCATTGGCTTCAGCTAACATAGTTTGGCCACCTTCTACTTTTTCTAAGCTTTGGCACTTCAGTCTTGCACCAATGGTCTCTTCCGCCCTCTTCAGCAACGCACGGCACGAGATCACCCTTTCCTCCAACTGCTTCTTTAAGCGCTTGTCATGTGAGTTGTCAGCATCAACTTGTGTGCTGTCAGGCTTTTTTTCTCTTCATGTCGGCCTCTCTGCTTCCAATTCTTTCCTCATACCGGGCTCTTGCTCTTTTGACGCTTCGCAGAAGGTCTGGTGACAGGGGCACCTTTGTGGCATCTCCATCATACCTCTGCAGGTAGGTCTTCACTTGCCGCAATCCGTTGATGCTCGCATTGCACAATGAGGCTCCGCCTTCAAGGAGATGCTTATTCTCACTGAAGCCTCGCTCACAGTCCGCGTTGCCATGAGGTAGAAAGCAGCGCATTTACTAGCCTTGACAACAGTGGGTACTTCTGCTGACCAGCTGCGCACTTTTGTTGAAATACTGTAGCCCAATGAGTGTCGATCCGTCCATCTTCCATCAACTGAAGGCTGTTAGCAGAGTCACATCTCAGCAGATGCCACTCATCGACCAGTGATGACACGTGGTCGCTTTTAAGCACTTGAGGTAGCTGGGAAGCAAGGTATCGCAAGGATCGGACTTCTGACTCCACGTCGCTGGGCTGCAATCCCAAGAGACTTGTGTGCTGAAGGACTTTATTGTCAAGAGGCAGCTTCTGCAGGAGGTCTTTCGAGCAAGCCAAGTAGAAGGCACGGGCCCCAAGAAGTAACCGCTTCTTTTCACCTGGATCCCATTTCAGCATTGCCTGCTCAGTGTCCATACCCACTTCTGGTTTGGTTTTCCACAGGGTAGAGTCCTGCACATCGAGCTTCTTCAGTTCCTCCGCACTCTTGTCCACATAGGCTGCACTCCTCAAACAACGGCTGAGGATTCGCTGGACTAGAGACAGCAACTCCGCGTGGAGTATGTGTAGCAGGGGCTCTTGCTTCTGAAACAGTGTCTGAAACCGAGAAAAAAGCTCGGCACAGTTCTTCAAGAACAACACCTTGGCATAAAGGTCTTTCTTTGAAAATCCTGCAGCAAGCTTGCTGTGAAGATTCTGAGTGTCCACTCGCTGCTTTGTCAGGCTTGCCTTGTGAAAGTATGACTTCAGCGCTTCAAATTGTTCTAGGACACGACACAGTGAATCTTGAAGTGTGAGCCAGCGATTGGAGACATGACGCAGAAACACATGAGAAGCAATCCCTAGAGCCTCCTGACATTCTCCGAGGGCTTCAGCACGAACAGCGCTTTTGAAGTAGTAGTAGAAGTTTCGGACGACCTCCTCAACATCCGAGCCAAACGCATCGAGACCTTTTGGAAAAGCATTGTGGACTTTGTGAAGGTTGCAGTTGTTGATGTCAACCAAACTTGATGGCATATCCTTCTGGAGCTTGTTCCTCACGCTTTTCATGACGTTAGGCCCGTCACTGAAAAAACAAACAAGCCCTCTCTTCGGTAGCTCAGTCAGCGCGTCTTCTACACAGCCCACAATTACTTCCGCGGTGGCACGCCCGAGGTTGTACGATTGCACATGCTCAACGACAACCTGTTGCTGGCTGTTAGAAAAGTACCTAACAAGCACATCCAGTTGCTGCGTTCTTTTCTCTGGCTTTGGGGTTTCGTCGATCATCACAGAGAAGAAAACATTTGGGTGGCACAGCTCACTCACAACTCTGGACTTGAAGCAAGGGCCGAGTCCGTCGGACACGATGCATGATAACTTGGACCTGCTGCAGCTAAACTTCTTAGCAACCTCGCTGTCCGGGAACATACACTCGTACATTCCCGTAGCACTGTCTCCCCACGAGAAAGGGATAGACTTTGAAACAACGGACATAGCGAAAATTGATTCTGCTTTCCACACTTGGTCTTGGAGTGATGTGCCAGAAGCATTTTGTGAGAAATCCAATGCGGCTTGCACCAATTTGGGGGGCTGAAGGTTTCCGTCTTCATCTCTGTGCCTTGCAGCAGCTTCAACATGTTTCTTCAATGCTGCTGTGCGCAGGAAATTGATGAATTACAGAGGACACAAAATGCATCAGTTTTGTGAGTCCCCTTTTTGCACCAGAGACTAATTAAATCATTATTTGAGTCCACCTCACTGAGTACTGAGTCTTTAAATTTGGTGCTTCGCTCTAGAAAAAAAGGACAAAATTACAATTTTAAGCAAACCAAGAAAATACGCCAAAACTTTTTTGCCATGATCTACAAACTTTAAAGTTACCGCGGTGAATATGTATTTACACAATTGTAAGTCGACCTGTTTTTCGGGATTGTGATAAATATACTCAAGGCGTCCGAGAATCCGAAACTATAGCGATTTATTAAACATGTTTGTAAGCTCTATTCTGAGTTCGCACGCAGTGCGACAGTACGACAACCAAGGGGTGACCAATCGTTTACGGCATTTGACATGAAAAGGAACACGCAACAATTTGCAACAAGGAAATCATGCAACGACCACGCGATCAAAAAGAGTACCACGTTCGGTATTGATGCCGCTGGTCTGCCGGTGAACGAGCGTCCGAGCAAATTTCTACTATGGGGTCTGTAACTTAAAACGCGCATGCAGAAAAAAAAAAGTACTCACCTTGGCTCATCTTCAAGAGGACTTAGTAGTGGCGATGCAGAAATGAACAGCCACAACGCCGCATATCAAAACGGTCGCAACAAAACAATAATGCGCAATAATGCCACTGGGCCGGAAACCTGAATTGGATTGTGATGGCTATGGTAACGGCTCTACCCTTCATATCGGGCGGCAGCTTGCGCCACCTAGCCTAGAAAATAAAACTCCCACCGGGTTGCCAGCCGAAAATGCCATTCTTCCAAAAAAGGACTCGTTCACGGACCGACTAGCCCTTTTTGGCGCAGTTTGGCGCAATTTGTGTCTTTAGGCGGAGCAAGGCACAGGTATAGGAGAATTTATCAAAATGGCGCAATTGGCGCAGCTGGACCACCCCTGCATATAAAACATGACTGTCACATTAGACTGCTGCACTATAAATTATTGCCCAAATTTACCACTGTTTAATCTTGGAATCCATGGATCTTCTTGCTGGGAATCTATAAACAAAAACAAAAGTATGACCTATAGGCTACAATCCATCATAGTTAATACATATTACCAAATACTCTTACAACTTTACTAAAGCTACAAAATACTCAGGTCATAACATTAATTTCGGATAACTCAAAACGGCTAGCGAGATCCATATGAACACACTGGTGCCCTAATAATAAAGGCTGACAACGGGAAGCAGACTGACTTTTGAAAGATGGGGCCATTTTGATGTTACTTTCTTTACCTTCATACTAAGGAGCGTTTTTCTGTGCTCAAACCTGTAGGTGAAAATATCAGAAATTCCCACTGGCAAGAGATTTTTTAGCCAACACCTCACATCTAGTAGTTTATAAAAAAATGTATTCTATCAGTTCAGTTCTGTTTAAGTTAATAAAAACATGTCAGTATAAGCTCATGGGCTCCTTACCTGGACGAACTGCCTGCACTTCTGGCAACTGAATAGGCCTTCTTGACTCCAGTTTCTCCTCAATTGAACAAATGAAAAACACTGCCTTAGTTTGGAAACCTCTATCGTAATGCAAACCAACATGAAAACCTTAAACATCAGGGAAAAAAATATTTCAATTAAGCATTATACACCAATTTCAACCAAGCAAATCATTGAAAATTGCGCCTATATATTTAAGGAGAGATTAGTTCAGCAATGTGACAGCTCATCAGATGCATATGATGCCAACGTCAAAAAAGTAAGCCATCAAAAAGAGATTAAGTATTCTCTGTATGTATGAAACAACATGGGCATGCAGTCTCCAAAAATACACTGAATAGAACCACAGGCTTCTATGCAAACAGCTGAATGAATGAAGACATACTTACTGGCTGTCAGCTTGCTAGCGATAGTCCCATTCATAGATTCTTTGATGTTGGTGAGTTGGGCCTTCTCTTTGATGGCTTCCTCACAGCGGTGGCGCCAGTCCCTCGCGTCGCTTCTGGCACGCTTCAGCTCTGACGCAGAAATGACATAGTCATCACTGTCGCTGTCCGATTCAGTTGCAGGACGACATCGTTTGTAGAGACCTGAGCAGTAAAAAATTTAGACCATTGTGTACACAAAGTATCAAAATCTTGTGTTAAATGCATATTTATGGACCACATACCCGGACGGCACAGGCGGCTTCATTTTTTTTCCTAGAGTTTTCCAGATGCTCTTGAAGGATGCTCTGATAGGCAGAGCTCTTAGATGCCAACTGGTGCACTTTGTGCCTTTTCTTCTCCTGTAAAAAGTTACGAAAGTCCTGAAAGACTATGAAGTTGCACTAAGTATAAATGAGTGCAACATACCTGTTTGGATGTTTGCTTCTGAGAAGCAGTTGCCTCATGCTCACTTCCTTCTCCAGTTTCAAGATCTGAAGGGTGGATTACGGCCTTGCGCACCCTTCTGGATGCCCTCTTCGCTTGCAGTTCTTCGGAATCTGTGTTACAACTAAAAAAAATTACTTAAAGTAGTACATCAAATATTTATACAACAGAGTTTGGCACTCATTAGGTCGCAATTTTGAGATATATGAATGCAAGAACTTTGATATCCAATGCTACCCGTAATGTCTTTTGACTAGTAATTGTTATCTCTATACACTGTGCGAGTATGAATAAGTTGTCATCTAGTCGTCTATCGATGCTGTTGCCAGCAAAAATGATTTTCACATTTTGCTTGTTCTTTCTCTCCCTGCTATTTTGGGGTAAGAGTCACACTATTACCACGCGACGAAGCGAGTGTGACGCAAAATTACGCATTTACCTAGTGTTGGACAGTGAATTCCTCGCATAACGATTGTGTGTACACTGGCAACTGAAATAAAAGGCTGTCATCAAAACCACCAGAACTTGAGCCATATAAATACTACTAAAACACTTAATCACCATTTAACATAGTTTTGCTCTTGCACAGTCTGCGGTGCTGGTCTTTCCACGTGCAGTGGGCTCAAACCTTCTGACGAACAGCACGCGGATTTCGAAAGCGGTTCTTAACCTGTCCAGTGAGAAAATGCGGATTACGTGCACATGCTAGTCGTTGCGAGCAGTGTACATGTGACTGACATATTTGATAGTTCCCATCAGTGGCTGCCTAATTAAATTAAATGACCGCGACCACCACGCAGACACGTTTCACTTTATGTCGCGCGTCCGCGCGTATTTTATGAATATGATCACGCCCTCCTAATTTTATATATTATTTATTTGTAATAATTAAGTAAATAAGTCTCCAATTACTTACTTGCCAGAAGCAGCACTTGCGAAGGATACGATCCAGTGTTCTCGGAGTTTTCATTGTCCTCCCAGAACGTCGTGTATACTCCGTTCTTATCGAAGTCATTTTTGTTCATCGGATGAAAGTCCTTAATGCACCGCACCGGAACCACATACCTTTTCTGATCAAATTCTTTTAAAAAAGAACTAGCGCGAACATCGTTTCAATGATGTAATAGGAATTCGCGATTAACTAATCTCCACCACAAAAATGTTCTGGAATCTGCATCCGGAATGCCGACGCTGTGGTGGCTGTGGATCGGATTGGAATCGGATCGATGATTAGGCTTGAAAAATTATGACCACATAATCTACATAAGAAACATACTATTACAGCTAGATCAAAGACAACAGAGATTTTTACTTGAAATGTTTGGCAATTATAAAGCATGTGTAAATGAAGTAAACATAAGTTTCCCCCTTAACCAGTTACAGAGGCAATAGCCAACGAAATCCAATCCCAATCCAAAGAACTGGACAACTAGCTAGACAAAGCCAACAAAGCCACATTTGGTTCACGGCGAACGTGATTTGGTTGAACTTCGGAAAATTAACGTTGTTTTTCAGTTTAGTTGGAGCTGCTGGGCAAGATTGACTGCCTGTAGCTAACCGGGCCGATCTAGACTTCTGTGGACTGGACCGAGATGGTTTTGTGTTGTTTCTCTACTGGAACATGCTGTGAACGTACGACGATGAGCCTGAGCAAATTCAGAACTTGTAAGCGATATCTTGAGCCCGACGCATAGGATGAACCGTTACCAAGATCAACAGAACATGAGATAAGAAAAAGGGTGCTCGTGTCTCCAAGTGTTCCCTGTCCACGCCATAATTCGGGGTGCCCAAGCCCTGCGACTGCTTCGACTACTCGTGGAGCATCGGACAGCAGCTGCGGAGATGAACCAAACAACCACTCGAGATCTGAAGGGAGTGGTCCGTCGCCCGTAGTTATAGACGATGATCCAGGAGATCACTCGGCTGCTGAAGACAGCGGTTCGGAGCACTACGATGAAGACGAACATCACTCTTCAACCGATACTCATCCAGGCACCAGTTCTGCCAGCTCCCCGTTCTTGCTGAAGTTTGTGACCCCTCTTCGAGATGGAAGCTCCATGTCTGTAGGAGACGTCCTTGTCCTTACCATAGACATAGCGATAAAGCATGACTTGGAATGGACGGCCATAGAGGACCTCCTAAAGTTCAGAAATATTCTGTTGGGAAAGAATGTTCTTCCAGAAAGCAAATATTTGTTCAGGAAGTTTTCTGGAGCTTCACCGGAAGAGATGCAGTTCCACTTCTACTGCCCTACTTGTGATCAACTGCTGACGAAAACTGGAGGAAAGCTACCAGAGCGCAACAACATATCGAGCACTTGTTCGATATGTGGAAAGCATTACATTGGTCGCCAGTTAATGGCGAACGGGAACTTTTTTGTTAGCTTGCCGCTGGATAAGCAATTCACCTCTCTCCTTGCGGACAGTACTGTGAGAGAGCAGCTCTTGGAGTCATTGAGCCGCACAAAGGCACCAGAAAACACTGATGTTTCGGACATCACCGACGGATCTTTCTACAAGCAACAGCGAGAGAAGCTCAACTGCAGAAAACAGGACCTGACGCTGACCATGAGTGCAGACGGGAGTCCGATGTTTAAGTCGTCAAACTACTCCATCTGGCCCGTGCACTTCACCCTGAATGAGCTGCCACCACACCTGCGCTGGCGCAACGTCATTTGTTCTCTCCTGTGGTACGGTACAAAGCACCCAAACATGAGGCTGTTCCTTCAAGCGTTCGCCGACCAGATGAGGGAGCTCTCCAGGGATGGGATATCCTGGAATGCAGGTGGCCAAGATATACATTCAAAGGTATGTTTCTATATATATGCTCTTTATTTATTTATTTATTACAATACCCTCAGGGCCAAAAGGCATTACAGAGGGGGTGGGGCAACCAAAAAATGAAAAAGAAAAGGGGGTACAAAAAGAGCAAACACAGCCGAGAATAAACATCAACAGCTCGAAACACAGCACTCTGGTCAAAAAATAAACAAAAGGACAATCACGACAAAAGGTGAGCAGATAAGGTTTTTTTAAATAAATCAATTGAAGGTATATTAACAAACGAAGCGGGAAGGTGGTTCCACTCAAGAGATGTTTTTGGAATAAACGCGTTCAAAAAGGCTGATGTGTTACAATGAGGGACACCAACTTTGAATGGATGATCAAAACGCGGAGAAATGAATGGGGGCTCAAGGAATAGTTTATCTTTCAATGACGTGTTAGAATGATAGATCTTGTAAAAGAGGCACAAGCGCAATATTTTGCGACGTAAAGAGAGGGAGGGTAGGGATAGACTGAGTTTCATGGAGGAAACGCTTGCTGTACGATGATAGTTAGAAAGTATGAAACGAACTCCGCGATTTTGCATGGCTTCCAGGTTAGTTATAAGTGTCGAGTGACCGGGATCCCAGATTGCAGCAGCGTATTCTAATTTTGACCGGACCAGGGAGTTATAAAGCAGTAATTTCAAAGAAACGGGGGCCAGTGTAAAATTTCTTTTTAGAAAACCGAGCATAGAGTTAGCGTTAGCAATAATGTGGTCAATGTGGGTTTTCCATGACATGTTATAGATAATATGGACACCCAGGTATTTGTAACAGGTCACAGACTGAAGTTGAGTGTTACAAATTGAGAGAGGTGGAAGAACCGTGTGACGACGAGAAACTCTCATAGACTTGCACTTGTTAATGTTAAGGGACATCTGCCACAATTCACACCATTGGGATACAGCACACAAATCATTTTGGAGGAGGAGTGAATCGGATTCATTAGTAACGTCACGATATATCACACAGTCGTCGGCAAATAAGCTAATAGAAGAGGATACACACGTAGGTAAGTCGTTAATGTAAATAAGAAACAATAAGGGCCCCAGAACGGACCCTTGGGGGACACCGGAAGTGACTGGACTTAGAGAAGAGTTAGCATCATTAGTATACACAAACTGAGAACGATTAGTAAGAAAACATTCAATCCAAGACAAAATATTAGGATCAACATGCAAGTGACTGAGCTTGAAAAGTAAAAGTTTGTGAGAGACTTTATCGAATGCCTTACAGAAATCTAGAAAGACGCAATCAACCTGGGAACCACGGTCGAGGATGGAAAGTAGGTCATTAGTGAAAGTGATAAGCTGGGTTTCGCAGGACAGTGATTTGCGAAAACCGTGTTGTGATGCAGTAAAAAAAGAATTTGAATCAAGAAAGTTAGCAAGATGTGAGTAAATTACGTGCTCTAAAATTTTGCAGGGAGTACTGATAAGGGAAATGGGTCGATAATTGGAAGGGTTATGTTTACTGCCTGATTTGTGAAGCGGAATCACCTTCCCAATTTTCCAGTCGTCTGGTAAAACGCCAAGGTTAACAGATTGTTGAAATATTTTGCAAAGAAAAATGGAAATGTAATTTTTAGTTCTCTTAAGAAATTTCGGTGTGATATTGTCAACGCCACAGGAGGAAGATGGTTTTAAATCATCAATAAGTTTTATAATTCCGTCATAGTCAAAAGCAAGTGGATCCATTTGAAAAAAACCATATCTCGGAAAAGTACCAGGGTAAACAGGAACAACATCACTAGCGAATTCTTTGACAAAATATTCATTAAAAACGGAAGCACAACTTTGACTAGGAACTACCACGCCATCATCACATGTCAGCGAAAGCACTGTATTTTTAGACCCGCTATACATATTCCAAAATTGTTTAGGACTGTTAGCAGAGCTGGCCAAATTACTCATATTTTGTAATTAAATTACATTACTAATTACTTTGCTGAAAATTGCTGAAATGTAATTAAATTACATTACAAATTACCACCGCCAGAAAGTAATTAATTACCATTACAAATTACTTTTAAAAGTAATGTCATTACTTTCGCATTACTTTTGTATACTTTTAAACATAAAGGAGCCATTGATAACTTCCTTTTACAGATAACTTTATTTACATTATTCACACAGTTCATGGCACACAGCTAGAACTCTCTGTTGCATGTTTACCGATGGACAGAGAAATGCACGCGACTGATCCGTTTCCCACCCCAACCCGGACAACTATTTTTGGAGATGACTGAGGACCCTACGCGGATTATCTCTGGGTGGGGGGAGAACAATTGTCAATGTTCGCAAAATCGCGTCGAGGCCGTTCCACCAGGGGCCTTAGTTCGACCTCCTTCCCCTCCTCCGTTTCCCGAGAATGTCGAGCAGAAAAGCTCGAATGGCAGGCACTTACCAGCCCTATTTCTCACAGTGGAAGATAACACAGAGAGGGTACGCAGCATGCATCAAAAAAAGTAAGCGGAAACTTTCAAGAGGGGCCAGAAAACGTCGAATGCAAAACCGCAAAACATAGGTAGAGAATCGCGCTGAGCGGGTTTTCACAGTTCAAGAGAGTGACAGAAAATGTCTAGCTGATAGCGGGCGTGAGAGTCGCACCAGCCGCATTGGCACCAGCAACATAGTGGCGGCCGAAGAGCGTTTTTTTGGAAAGGTGTAGAGGAAAAAGAAAAAGTAAAATAAAAAGAAAAGCGCTCTTGTGTATTGTGGACATAAAAATATGCCTGGTGCGAAAAAGTAATTAGGTAATTTAATTACAATTACCGTCGCTCGAGTAATTCATTACATTACTAAATTACCTGCTACAAAAAGTAATGAATTACATTACTAATTACTGAAACAAGTAATTAAATTACTGTAATTTCATTACAGTAATTACATTACTGCCAGCTCTGACTGTTAGTTAGCATAGAGGGGAGGGTTACAGAAAAAAATGTTCGCTTGGCCTCCGCGATAGCGGTCTTATAGGAACAAGCTGCTGCGCTATAAGCTTCCCATCGTTCAGAAAGTCCAGTAAGCTTGGCAGTCCGGAAAAGACGTTTCTTTTTATTAGAAAGACGCTTAACAGATCTGTTGAACCAGGGCGATAAGTGGTTAGAAATGATAGGCCTACATGGGATAAAAGAGGTAATTAAAGAGCTTACTTTGGTTTTAAACATATTCCAATTGGTATCAACTGTGCGGTGTGAGAAATTAAAAAGGAACTCATC